GGGAAAGAAAAATCAGTGCAGAGATACTTACATAGGTCTTTAAAATTAATTTAAATATATTGATTCCTAATGCAAGTTTGTGTACAGGAAAGGACTTGTTGGAGTTCAGTGATTTGTCTGTGACCATGTAAGAGATGTGGGACTAGACTAGATGTGGGTTGTGAATCCATTGAAGTACTCGTCAGGCTCTGATTACCATAAACTCAAGTGTGGTGGGTTGACCTTGGCTGGACACCAGGTGCCCAACAAGCCACTCTATCACCCCCTTCCTCAGCAGGATGGGGAGGGAAGAAAATAAGATGGAACAAAAAAAACCCCTCAAACTTGCGGGTCAAGACAAAGGCAGTTTAATAGAAGCAAAGCAAAGATGTGTGTGCAGAAGCAAAAGATCAAATCCCATCAGCAGGCGATGTCTGGCCACTTCCCAGGAAGCAGGGCTTCAGTACACATAGCCGTTACTCTGGAGGACAAATGTCATAAATAACTAATTCCCCTTCTTCCTGCTCTGTTCCCCTTGCTTTTATTTCTGAGCAGACATCATGTGGTATGGAATATCTCTTTGGTCAGTTTGGGTCAGCTGTCCTGACTATGTCCCCTCCCAAGATCTTGTCTACCCCTAGGTCGGGGAGGGGGGGGTAGCGGGGGGTGGGGAGGAATGTTGGAGAGCCAGCCCTGATGCTGTGCAGCACTGCTCAGCAGTAGCCAGAACACTGGTGTGTTATCAACACCTTTCTAGCTACCAATACACAGCACAGCACTGTGAGGGCTACTGTGGGAAAATTAACTCCATCCCTCCAGACCCAATATATCAAGCCATGCAAGTACTCATTCAAACAAAGTCTGTTGAGTAAAGCTTTACAAAATTATGGTTAAGCGACTAATTCAATTTTAAAATGAAATGTTTTTTTCTTCAGATTGAATGAGAATTGGATAGGAATGCTAATGATAAATAGATTAATTTACATGAATGGCATTTATTTATGAAATACAGCAACAATTTTTTTGCCCTTTACTGTTTGATTTCCAATAATGGCTTGGGTTTTTTTTTAAAGAATCTAGCCAACTATACCCACCTTGGTAACAGAATGGCTGCATTCATGTTTCAGAACATCTATGTGATCCAAACCTAACATCAAACACATTCCATAGTAGAAAAATATTATTACATCTTAAAATGATTTTTCTCCAAAAGCAAGTGTATTTGGATTCCACTGCGAAAAATATTTTAGTGAGTATACCATACAATACAATATTTCAATAGTTTGTAACCAACAGTAATAGACTTGTCAATCATGGTTTATAGTTATAAGCTGGATTTCAAAAGAACAGTGCTTCAGAGCTCAGTGGTATATAGTGCATTTAATGGGACCAAAGCTCTCTATAGGAAGCCTGATATAAAATCCGAAGATACTGAGTACATTTTATGAACCAGTTGCGCTCTGTTCTGCTGCTTGATCTAAAGTTCCAGTACTATCAATCAGATTTCTGCTGCAATGAACTGCCTTCTTATGGTAGGTGATAGATTTTACACATGAGAGATCAGAGCTGCAATAAAGCTACTTTTATTCTTAGCTTCCAAATGAAGATCAGCTAACCCATGACTATCACTTTTTCTCTTTTACTGCAGAAAAATTGTTAAGGCAGCTTCTAAGAATTTCCATAGGGCTTTAGGAGGTTAGAAGGCAGTCCACTGCGAGACTTGGTATTACAAGGCCAATTTGTTTCTTTAGATCTGCGTGTGCAGTTACCACCACTTTTGCTGGGAATTACAGTACTTGAGGACATAATGAAATTAAAGCAGAGAGTGGGGCAGAAAGACCTAATGGTGTCAAGTAGAGCTGGATAGTACGATCCAAATAAACCCTGATAGATTGACAGCTCCCACAGTCATTGTGTATTTTAATAACGTAGTATTTATCAGATTGTAGTTGTATTAAGAATGATTTAATCTTTCTATCATTGCTCAGTTTCATGGATATTGGAGTGTATGAGTGAAATTACAGTCCAGCCTATCCCCAGTAACATTTGTTGCTACACTGTCAACCACACAGCATCATCTTAATGACTTCAGAACGTCAGAACTCCCCACCAATTCCTTATATAATGTGTCAATGAGATCTGTTATCTGTGTTATTAAATGCAACTTAAGTTATATTTTCCATTTACGTTGGTCCTAGTGACAGTCTTATAGTTTTCATTGGATTTGTGAGTTATACCACAACTAATTGAGTGATGTGTGCAGAACAAAGATACTTTACCTTCATGATACAGTATTCTATTCCAGCAGCCAAGCTGCCTGTATCTCATTACAGAATTCAGGTGTAGGAATATTGGCATCATGGAAGATCAGACCAACAGAGTGTATGATCTTTTCAAGATAACCTTTCGGGCACGTGCTTCTAGGGGGAAGAATGGAGACAACATACTTTAAGGTAGATTAATTGACCAACGTCTTGCTTTTGTAGGGGGTTGCAAGATGCATGACTTCTTGGTCTAGGTAAAGATTTCTGAAATATGAATTTAATCCTTTATACTATTTCAATGTACCTTATTACATCCACATGCTGGAGAAACCCAGCCCCCAGTGCTTTGCAGCAGGTAAAATAGAAGCTAGAGTAGTTAGGATTGTGTCTCATTTCTGCACCTATGTTATACATGAGTACATGTACATGTAACTAACCTCAGTTCCTAATTTCTACTCAAAAATCTTGAAAATGAAATTTTGAACACTGATGTGCATACGTGTATGTATACTGTGGTGAATATTTATAACTGAAATCCTGCTATGTAAAACTATGGCACTTGGCTTCCTTTTTTTTTTTTTTAATTTCAAATTCACTGTAAATCTCCATGGGGTATTGTGCAGTCAGTTTTCAACTAGTCTACTCTGATTAGTTTATTATGAAGCACAGTAAGCAGGAACAGATAAGGTGCAACCAATTGCACTGAGAAGGATTTTCTGTCAACTTCCATGAATTTGAGGGTATGAACTCAGCTTGTGACTTAGGTTTCTGTTATATAATTACCATTGCAATTATGTCATCCTCAAACATCCAGTCCTTTTGTTCTGTTTTGGTTGTTAGCATTTGGCCTCCATCCAGTTGGAAACTACCCAGAACCTTTTTAATCAAGCACATCCTGTGTTTCGAAATCATACTGCAGAATAGTCTTGAGTAGCATAAAAGCCTAGCTAAAAAGAAGAATGTAATCATAATGGTATTCTTCCCCTGTCATAAAATGACTTCCTATACTTACTGTATTAATACAGTATTAAAAGGCCCTTCTCATGGGCTCAGTGAACTACCGGAAACCATTAAAAACTTAGAGCAGCAAATTTTTTATGGATCAGACAGAAATGACTTATTTTATCTTTAGAGAGTTCTTGTTATTCATCGTAATTAATGATACACAACCTGTGTGGGGGCTAGAAAACAGCTAAATACAGTGGGCTTAAAAAAGAAAACAAGCTGAAACCCTTTATGTGATATTTCAGCAAGGATTTTTCAAAGGGAGCTCACCACTGGTTTCAGCTGGGCCAGGGTTTCACTTCACGGTTCTAAAAAATTTACAGTAGATACCAGTACTTTTCTAATCCCAAAGATTATCGTAATACTTGATGGAAGCCTGTTTGAAAATTGAAATGTGCTTCTTGACATCTAGCTACTTTTCATAAGTATCTAATGGCTTTTTGGAAGTTCTCCACTGTGTCAGGGATAGCCACCTGGGAGCATGGAAAACAAAATTTGGCAGCATGTTCAAGCTATGAATTAAAGGTAATTCACGGTTTGAAACGAACCAGCATGAGGTCCTTATGAAGAGTAATCAGACATCAAGAGGATTTTACACCAAGGATTGTATATTGGATAATGCAACAACAAGTACTGTTATTATTCAGAATGTTAAAATCAAGAAGCACTGATGAATTCTTAACCTTGAAAGGAGTCAGTTTTAAAAAACTGGGATTTGTTCAATGTTGATATATCATTTCCAGCTCAATCACATGAACCAAAACTGTAAAATTCATTTCCAATCGGAATAGGAAGAACGTTTCTGTTTATGTATCTAACTCTATATCTGAGTTCTAGTCACAATCTAACCCAGGTATAA